GTTAATGCTCCTTAACCGTATTTGTTAATGCTCCTTAACTGTATTTGTGTATGATCCTCAACCGTATTCGTGTATGATCCTTAACCGTATTTGTGTATGATCCTTAACCGTATTTGTGTATGATCCTTAACCGTATTTGTGTATGATTCTTAACCTATGTGTGTATTGCACTGATCGGTACTTGTTTATAATTCTAAACCGTATTTGTGTATGATCCTTATCCGTATGTGTACATGGTCCTAAACCATATTTGTTTATGGTCTTTAACCATCTTTGTGTAGGTCCTTAACAGTATTTGTGTAGGATCTTTAACCGTTTTAATTTGTGTATGGTCCTTAACAGTATTTATGTATGGTCATACACAATCGAAAACCGTTTTTTTTTATAACCATTAACCGTAGATGTGTATGTTCCTAAACCGTATTTGTGTATTGCAATAACGTATATATGCGTATGGTACTAAACCGAATTTGTTTATATGGTCTTTAACCGTATATTTGTGTATGGTCCTAAACCGTATTTGTCTAAAGTTTTTAACTATATTTGCGGAAGGTCCTCAACGGTATTTGTGTATGATCCTAAACTGTAATAATTGTGTATGATCTTAAATCGTAATTGTATTCTGTGTTCGAAGGTCGAAAAGAAAGTATTGTAATTGCACAAGATGATAGCAAAAACACAGGCTATTTTTCCTGAATCCTAGCTATCACTAAAATGCTCTATATTTACGTTGACAAAGAAAATACGGAAATAAGAAAAGTCACCCACTTAGCTTCTAGTGACATTCAGGAACATATGACGAATTTGTAAATGCGTTATATTATATACAGAACCTCACACTCTCTTTGGACTCTTCCAAATGACCAATTAGTTTATAAATAAAATATGGTAAACTGATATGTTTATTTAGAGCAATTCTTGATCAAATTTTCACAAATGTCACTGGGAGCAAAATATGATACGGTAATTGTTTCTGAAAGCTTTATTAGTTATCCTTTCATCAAAATTGCTTTGATAAAGACATAAAATGTGTGACAAAGCAGCGATTGTACATCTAAGAATAAAAGTGATATCAATGCTTGTTTATGAAGCAATTTTTATATATCTTTTATAATGCCAGTCTTTTCATGACATTCTTTATAGTTATCTGTGTGTTTTGGGTTGTTTTTTTAAGACAGGTACAACCTGATATAAATCATGATTGATAAAACAATTGGGGACACAAAAGATATGATGACAATGAAAAAACACACGTAAGCATCTGGTAAAAGGCATCATAAAAAAGAATTCTTGACTTTATAGGAACCTTATGGCGTCATGTGATACTATTCAGATTTGTATTGTCAACATCAAAATAGCTGTGATACGCTATTCTTTTAGAATAGTTTCTGTTTTGCTGTAAAAAATAAACATTTGTTTGCATTATAAACAGTTGACAAAAGCATTTATATGGACTATCTAATTTAGCTCGATCAGCGGATATTTTTTGTTTTCACATGGCTGCTTTTATTACACATTTATATATCCATGTAACAAAAGTTGTACTTATGATATGTTATCAAAAACAATGTCCCCTTGTTTCAATACTAAATTTGAGAATTTGTGGCACGCGCTAACTTGATACAAATCTCGCCACGGGAGATTCCTCCAGACGATAATGTCAACGCCACGCGCCATCTCGGATTATCTACAAGATTATCAAGTGTTGGTGCGTTTGATTAGTAGATCCATCACGATATATGATCGATTATGAAGTCATTGATAATAAAACATGTATTTATTACATCTATACTGATACTTTACTTACAACCTTGACTGTAGGTGAGAATTTGTTCCTACATGTAATGCTTATTTAAGTGTTTTTGTTGGCTAGATAACAATAATTTATTTTTGATGCTATTGATTCCACGAGGCGTTTATGTAGCTAAAATTGCTTTAATTGTGTCAATGGGGGAGAACAATGGGATAGCAACCTAAAGCCCAAATGTTAGAATGTCTGCACTAACGACATAGTACAAGAGCTATCAGTAGGAAAGCACGCTCGACTAATATCACTGCCCGTATGGATACTATCAGCATAGTTTATGAGATAAATGTTGCGTGCAAAACTCAGTCATGCTATTTCTTAAGATCACTCAGGGCCGTGAATCAGTCAAATTCCATTCCAGAGATATCTTATTAAAATCAAAAGACATGCATTGATTTGCAAAGAAATACCTTTTGTATTTTAGAAAACAAAAATTTAACTATTTAGATAGAGAAAATAAGAATCTGTAAAGAAAGTCCAAAACGGTAAAATTAAAAATGTTGCAGGCTCGGTTTGATTGAGACTGTTCATGGACGGTGCTGTCAAGTGCAAACTACACCTTTCCCCCCCCCCACCGGCTTAAGCAGGATTCAATATTTTAACTTGAAATGGCCAAATTTTGAATTTAGAAACATGTGTTCATATGGCGGTTATCATGGAACGTTCAATGTTACACTTCCGTGCCACTCCATCAAAAACGGCGTATGAGAAAGCGTGTGTCCTAAATGAGAAAACAATGGGCGGAACTAAACAAAATGGAAATTTGGAAAGGAGATCAGAGGTTATGAAGCCTGCATATCACAGATAAGACGTCAAAAGACAAAGTTAAAAAACAGACAACATATCCGAAGGGTGATTCAACATTATTCAAGTAGGAATATTGGAACCACCCAAATCGAAAAAGCCAAATACATGTAGTTGAAACTAAAAAATACCATAAACACAACAACACTGTCGTGTTTAAGGATCGGAAATATAACAGTACGGGCGACTTTTTACAGCCTCCACACGGCACAAACAACGCTGATGTGGCGATAAAAATAGAGAAAATAATTTTCTTTGTTAACAAATGTCTGCATAATTCAGTCGAATTCCATGCCAGAATAATGGGCCTTAAAAGTAACCTCAAATGATGATTTTGACGACATATTTTAAATTTCAAGTCATTACCTTCAGTAGTTTTGATATGCAAAACTTTTAACTAATAATGTTAAGTTAGCCAAGGGTCATAATTAAGTCAAATTCCATGTCAGAGTTATTAGCCTTGAAAAGGTAATTTCCAATAATAATCCTGAAGTTCAAGTGGATGCTTTTCAGGAGATTTAAAGATTGGTGGTGCTTTAAACAAGAATTTTCCAAGTTCACAAAGGGCTATATTTCAGTGAAAATCCGTGTAAGAGTTGTGGATCTTGGACAGTGATCTGAATACCTTCGGTAGTTTTGAAGATTGGTGTTGCATACAACATTTTAATCAGGAATTGTTTAAATTCGCCGTAAGTCTGTCAAAATTCATTCCAGAGTTAGGGAACTTGGATAATGACGTCATTTATTTCAAATACACGTGTGAAGATACAAGCACATACCTAAACATTTTAGTGGTTGTGTGAGAAATGATATTGTACAAGAAGTGGCACTTCAAAAGAATTATGCTAACGCTGATACCGACACCCGAATAGTCGGGTTAATTATATTAATGTGGAGTAAAGGCGATATCTAACAATTTTTAGGCAATAAACCATTCAAGTATATTTTACGTCTTTGATTTAACTTTAATTTCCTCTTGTCGTGTATATGGTTTTATGTTCTAGATTCGCAACATTCAATTGCGTATTAAAATATTTTTAAAAAACGCAGTAGGCAAACGAAATTTGAAAATGACATCAGAAAATGGAGAGTGGGCAAAGAAATCTTAAATCTGAAGTGCATCCTTGAGTTCTCATCATCTGCACCGGATATAGTGTCATGAAAGAAATCTGCGTCATTTTGAAAACCGAAAGGGCAGAGCTGTGGTATCTTCATGACGTGTGTGCTTCCTTCTTTTATTGTGGCATGGATAATATACGCGCCACATATAATATAGATATGAGCCGTGTCATGACAAAACCAACATAATGGGTTTGCGACCAGCATGGATCCAGACCAGCCTGCGCATCCGCGCAGTCTGATCAGGATCCATGCTGTTCGCTATCAGTTTCTCTACTTGTAATAGACTTGGTAAGCGAACAGCATGGATCTTGATCAGACTGCGCGGATGCGCAGGCTGGTCTGGATCCATGCTGGTCGCAAACCCATTATGTTGGTTTTGTCATGACGCGGCTCAATTATAATGAATAATTTAAAATTAAAAACAGTTACAAAGTTAGAACTGCCACTCAAATAGCCTAACTAATAACAATAAGAGATGTCACATGGCTTCAACATTTTGATTGCAAATCTTAAAACAGCGGTAAAAAATGCACGTACCTTTACGGCCCATTCGTATACCAGCGATGTGCATGTATTGGAAAATGAACTACTTTATAAATTCTAGAACTTTGAGCAAAATGAAGCTTAATCATTTAACGGCATATTGGTATATTCTAAAATCTTAAGATTTCATCCAAAAAAGATGAGGGGTTCCATTTTAAACAATAAATCTTTCTTGTGATGATTTAATATTATTTTTGTTCTGTATCGTTTAGATGTATAATAATCAGAATATATAAACACGTATTGATAAAATTAACATAATTATGTTTCCTATTCAATCTTAACACTGAGAAATCAATCAATATACATGTATGTAATATTTTTATTTACATTGATACATAATTATGTTAAATATATTCGTCATGTGTATGTTCAGCATAATAAACTTGTGCACATGCAAAATGTATAGTTTCTCAATTTTGGATGTGATTGGGTATATATGTATATTTGTATATATATTATAACCAGCACGTGACTTTTTAATAAATGTCGAGATCTTGTGCCAGCTTGTGGAACAGTAGGCCCTAATAATGAACTTTTAGATTTTAGTCTATAAATATGAAATGTTATGCACATTCAGGGAAGACCACGTTTTTTTTAAAAACATAATAAATAATACAATAAATAAATAAATTCATAATTCACGAATAATTAAATTGGTAAATAGGTCGAATATGACTAAATGTTTTTATTCTGATGTACTGTATGGAGAATTTCATGTCTTCACCGTTTCGTAATTCTATTTATAGAACACTTTACGATTGTGTAATAAAATTATTAAAATTGTTTAATTTTCCTGGATATTTTTCTAGTTTCATAACTTTCAGTACATTTAACAAGATACTATACAGTATAAAAATGTCGATTAAATTAGTATGTAAGCCAGAGTTTTTTGAAAGTCGCTTGAATTCTCATCTAGGTTTAAATGTTACGACCGAACCCGGAACGACCTACTTTCTGTGTAACGATATAGAGGAGGTGCCGTCACTTGTGGATCCAGCTAGCCTTTCATTTTTGTCAGGTGAAAAAAAGGTAACAATAAATGAAAATGTCTGGTTTTTAATAAACTATAAAATATTGTAGAAAGTCGTAATACAATAGCCAGTATTCTACTGTACATGATAAAATTTACGCTTAAAATTTAGAAAAAATAAATAAGTGAATCGTCAATTTATCCATTGCACATGCCTGGTTTGAGTAATTTCCTAGTAATAAGTATTCGCCAGTTCATCTGTTTTGAATAAAGTACATGCACTAAGTAATAAAGTGAGCTGTTTTATATTTAGATTTATATCACACTCGCGTGACTCGGTTTTTAAGTCGTGACCAGATGCAAATTGATTGAGATTTTTTTAATTTGAGGTTTTAATACATGATGATCAGATCATCTCATTTTCCTGGTTTAGAGCTATTAATTGAATATATATATAATCTTCACAAGTGTATTTAAATGGTAATAGAACATGAATTGTCCATATTTGGTGGGAGTATGCATATTTGTTAGTATTTATGCATATAAATTAATTGATAAGAACTTTATTGAAATATTCTATTTTTAACAGGTTCAGATACTGGTGTGTAAACATGTGCCAAATGAGAGTAAGGTGCAAGGACAGGTTGTTGCACCAGAAAAAAACAAGTTGACTGAGGTGCTCATGGGAAATTCTACACCAAATGTATGTAAGATATTGAAATATCATGTTTGTATATCAAAGGATATTATCAAAATGTTAAACATTGTCAAAATTATTAGTAATTTAGGACAAAGTGGTTTTGAATGTCTTTAAACTACATAAGTCATGCAGGCTTAGGCAGGTAAAAAAACACACATTTTTAAACATGAAAATCATTTTTTATTGATCAGCAATTTTTGACAATCATGATGGACCAAGCCCATTTATTATTACTAAATATATGCCAAAATACACATCGAAAATAATCCAAAGTAGAAAAAAATTCTAGGTTTAGACCAGGGTAAACTTGATGTATCTAATTGATATATACATATATTAGTCTTTTTGTTTAAAACTACAATGTCCCATCTGGAGAACTTAGATATTTTGCATGTAAACCTCTACAAATCTTTCATAAATTTATAAATTATGTAGCTGGGGTCAAGAATGACAACCCAGTGCAATGTTACATAATAACTTACTTTAGCATTGAATTACTTTGATCAATTTTAGCAATGTACATTTGAAAGTGACATAATGCTCATGTTTTCACTGTCAAGTTGAGCTGAATTTATATTATATTTCAAGAGATTGACTGTTATAATGGTGATTGACCAATAATTGATGTTTAGGATAAAAAGACTGCCTCCATCTTTTTTATTTAATATTTAATGTTATTGATACATTCCAAATGATATTTATAGAAATTTTTGTGGGTTACATGGATAATTGTTGATCGTTTTTCCATAGTAAAATATAAAATTGATCACAATTATGGCAAAATGTAAACTTTTTTGGACTTTTTAAAATTTACCTGTGCACATAACATTTGGATGTGCATAATGTCACTTAAATCTCAGGTGAGGGATTAGGGCCATCATGGCCCTCTTGTACACAAATGTGTTGGAAGTTTACATAGTATTATATAATTTTACAGATGCCATTATTTGTTGATTTTTTTGCAAGAAATAATCATTTGAAATTATCTTCAGGCTACACGTGTAATAAAGGAAGAAAAGATAGAAAATGTTATCAAAACATCCAGTCAATGTATTGTCACTGACACATGTGAAAAAGATACTAAGAAACAGGGAGAAAACAGGTTGGCTACTGAGATAAAAGTTGAAGCCCCAGTTGTAAATGCACCACTATACCAGTTGAGCAATGTCAAGCTTGAGAGTCCAGTTGTGATGCAGGGTATCAGTGCCCATATTCCACCAACTTTAATTCCAAACAAGGTCCAAATGAGGTCTTCGACGGCTGATACATGTAATGTTCCAAGTTTACCATGTCAGTCACTCAGGCAAGAACTGAAGCAAGCCATTTTGCAAAGACGTTTAGTTCAGGGAAAAACCATGATTGATTTAACGAAAGAAGAAAATGAACGTAAAGCTGTATTACAGAGCATTAAGGTACTATGTAAATTTGTACTAACAAAAGGGCAGCAATCGTCTGTAAACTTTTGCTGTAAACAACATCTCTTAAACCGCTTAGCCAATTTCATCAAAACTTCACAGAAATGTTCCTTTGGTGGTCACCTTTGAAATTTGTTGAAAGAATTTAATTCCTTGCAGAACTCTGGTTGCAATGGCACCAGAAAGAGAAAAAAAACTTTAAAAACCTTCTTTTAAAAGACCCAAAGAGCTAGAGCTTAGATATTTGGCATGAAACATCTTCTAATGAGAGTCTACCGGGTCAAAATTAGCCCTGGCCCAGGGGTCATTGATTTTCCTAAAATGCATCACCTTTTGGAACTGTTGTTTTCCCTTAGCAATAGCAACCGGTAATGTGCAATAGCAACCGGTAATGTTTTTACAAATGCACTTTTTCAGATACAGATATCAATTTATGATTTAGATTTTATATCTTCTTTTGTTTACAGTTTACAATATTTCTTGTCATGGAGAGTTTTTACATTTAGTCAAGCAATTTCAGGGCCATCATGGCCCTCTTGTTATTTTAAGACATTAAATTTTGCCTTTCAATTTATATTAAAATTTTAGATGTCTGAGGAAGAAGTTGAAAGAATGCTTAAACGGCGAGTTTCAAACAATCGAGCTGCAAGAAAATGCAGAGAAAAAAGAAAAATTGTAGAAGAAAACTTAATGCAGGTAAATAAGAAAGTTTGCGGATAAAATGTCATTATTTTAGCTAAAGGATACTCAAATCAGTGTTAATTAGCACTTGGTAATGGTTATGCACATTTTTTTTTCTAACTATCTCTAAGTTCAGTGGAAAAATATCCTATACCAGGGGTATGGATCATGTTTTCAAAACAAAAGAACCCTTCAGTAAGTGTATGTACTCACTTATGTTCAAGCTGAACAGAAAAAGAAATGTTTGACATATGTGTTAACTACGTAATCAATTGCAAAACATATACACATTTTATGATTTGAATAATTATTTATTGTTACAGGAAGCAAAGAGATTGAAGGCGCGTACGAAAACATTGAATGAAATTATATCAACATTAGAGCAGCAACAGAAAGACCTAAGGTTGTATGTAACCGGTGCAAAAAGTGGGGATAAGGATTCCAATGAAAAGATCTTTTCTATTCTTAACTCAGAAATCAAAATTCCAGACCTTCCTCCTCGCACCATGACCAGATATGACTATGACTTGTCTAGTAGTGTCATTTTATCAAGTTCGGAATATAATTCTGATGATACAAGGAATGGATTTGAGTTAGATAGCAGTCAAGAAACTAATGATACAAGAGATTCTACATCAGTGAGTTTTCTCAATGTAAAAGATGAAATGATAAATCAGACTGTGCCTGGTGGGACTGTAAGTGCGACCAAACATATTCAAGTGGAGAGTGACATTAGAAATTTTAAAGAGATTGATGACAGGAGAGAACAGGTTGATTCGGATGATGATTCGGATGTGGAACTTATTGAATTTGACAGACCATTAGTGATTGATGTTAATTAGAAAGTGCAATTGTTATTGCTGTAATCAGAGCAGTGTTTAATCATGTAATGTATCTTTGTCTGTCTGTGTCTGTTCTCTTGGTGCATTGTTATTGAAATTAAATTTAAGCTTTGGAACGTGACAGCGTAAAGAAGAAAAGAAAACATGGTATCAGTGTTAATAAAGTTTTGTAGTGTCATATGTGTTCATTTATTGTTGTATGTTGGAATGGTAAGTAGATGCTTATATTTTATTCATCATATCACTTTCATTATATCTGTGACTGTTGGAAATAAAAAGAATTTAGTTAGCACACAGTTATGACTTAATAGTGCTTTTCTAATGTTCACTGTATTAAAATCATAAATGTGAAAAGCAAAACTTAACATTGGCTTTGTTTTAAAAAAAAATTGCAGGATTCATTTTTGCGTACAACTAAGTGAATGTTATATTAATAATTATTTACTAGTGAAGATATTTAGAAAGTGGAAGAATAGCAGCATGTTATAAGTTAATATTTTTAGCACAAACTTCTTCATAAAGAAAAAAATATTGTAAACATTTTGTAATTTCATGTTAAAATATAACTCTGAAATATTTTTCACATTGAAAATTATTTGCTTATTATTTGTTGATGTCAAGAAGAGTGCATGGTGTTTTGGTGGAAAATCAGTAAACATGATATAAGAAAATCATTACAGGTGCTTTAAGTAAGTAAATGATCAAATTATCTTTCTGAATTTGTGTAATGGATTTGCCCAGCTTTGAATTTGGAATAGTTCATTCAATGTCTAAGGGATTTTGATATATCAAAATACAAAAATTGAGCTACTGACAGCTAAAATGTCTTGCACCTGCATGAAGGGTACAGGCTGGCCTGGTGTATCCTGTATCTATTCTGACCACATAGCACATGAAAATATTGCATCAAGTATTCACTCTGTGGAAGATATTTTTCTAAAGTTAAGTTTGATTTATTGATGATTTGTTTGCAAATTTCGAAGTGTGCAGTTCAACATTGTTGTTGTTTTGTTTCTTTTCTTTATTTTGTATTTTTTTATAGCTCATATGAGCACAAAGTTCTCAGAGGTGAGGTTTTGTGATAGCAAATCTCCTAATTATTTGATGCATTACACAAGACTGTAGAATGATCCTATGGTAGTCCTCTATGAAAGTTATATGAATGATTCCAGTCTGATGCATAAGTAGCTCTCAGGAGCTAGGCTTTAAAAATTATGTCATTAAAAATCTTCTTCTCAGAAACTACATTGCCCAATGCTAATATATTTTGTATTGAGCATCAACTTGTGTGCTTCTACTAAACTTATATAAATCATGTCACTCGGGTTAAAATTGGCCCGCCCAGGGGTCTTTTAGTTTAAATAGACTTATATAGGAAAATACATTGTAATGGGACTTCTTATAAACTTCATTGCTTAGAGCTTAGATCTTTGGCAAAAAGCATCAACTTGTGTTTTTTTACAAAGGTTATATATATCTTGCCCCTTGGGTTCAAATTGACCCGTACCCAGGGTCATTTAGCTTATATAGACTTTCTTTTATAAAACTACAATAGATCTTAATTATTTGGCATGTATAATTGTCTTTTTGACATTTACTAATGTGAGGTCAAAAATGGCCTTTCCTAAATTTGAGTCACTTAGTTCATGAACAAAAAATCTTCTTCTCTGAAAGAACAATGCCCAGAGCTTAGGTATTTTGCATGAAACATCACCTTGTGGTCTTCTACAAAAGTTATGTAAATCATGTCCCTGGGATCAAACCTGGCCCACCCTTAGGGTCACTTAGTTTATGTAGACTTAAATGGTAAAACAATTAATTAATTATATTTTCTTGTTTGAAATAACAATACAAAGAACTTAGATATTTGTCATGAAGCATTGTGTAATAGACATCAACAAACATTAAAAAAAATGCAATTATTTCACAGAAATGATTTTTGGGTGACTGTCTTGATATAAATACTGTATATATATATATATATATACCCCCATATATATTTAAAAGTTGGCGGTAGCTTTGGTTTCAAAAACCACTCCTAGGAGTGTTGTAGTCTTTTTTTCTGTATATTTAGATCATGAAAATCTTTTAAAAGAAACTGTATGATTGATTTTAATTTTATTTTATAGAAATGATCCTTGCAGAGGCAATTTCTACAAAATTTGTTTGAAATTTTTCAGTTACTTATAAAACTTGGCACTTATGAGGTGGGAGTCACTTTTTGATAATGTACAATTTACAGATTATCTTGGTTATATCTGTTGGTCAGATTTTGAATCTAAATAGAAATGATTCATAGATAACTGACCACCAAGATATTCATATACTTTTGATTCATCAAAAAAAGCCTCTAGGATTGTGTTTCCCCAGATTTATGTATTTAAACTTGTGGTTTAAACTCCGATAAGTCATACAGGGCCATTATGGTAGTCATGCCTTTACCAATTATAGATGCATTAAAGAAAGCTTTTATCGAAACATTGTTATAAAGAATCTTGTTAGTTTTGAATGTTGTTCTGACATTGTATCGATATTAATGACGTATTTGGGTTAAACACACGAAAAAAATAAGTATGTAAAGAAAAAAGATGCATCGGCCGGGAATCGAACCCGGGCCGCCCGCGTGGCAGGCGAGCATTCTACCACTGAACCACCGATGCTCATGAATGATGAAAAGACAAATTGTAGAGTGAACAAATATTATATACGTTTCGTTTGTTTGCTTATGTTGAATTTTATTATATGTTATTCAGTAAGTAAATGTAATTACTGTAAAAAAATTAATTGTGTGATTCTTTTGTGTATTTATCATTGCATTTACGTTCTTATAATTTGCAGGCAAAAATAGATCTATGAGCTTTAAAGCTTTTTCCATTAATTCATGAATAATTCTTGGGTGAAAAAATGTCCTGTTTTCTTCGATTCATCAGTTTTATAAAACATTTATTACTGTTTTTACGCCTCATCTTTTCTTTTCTTTAAGACAAAAGAGATATTGAAAGTACATGTGTTTCTACTAAATTTCAGGGGAGGTAACAAAAACTAGCTGTGATGACGTAGTTATCTATGTCTCTGCCTAGAGGTACTAGCGCGCTTTTAGCAAAATTGGTAGTAACTCAAGGGCGTAGCGCCCATTACGCACAATACGCAATTGCGTATAAAAAAATTCCGAAGGTGAAAAAATAAAAATGAGAAAATCTAAGTTTTAATGCCCAATAATGGTTTTATCGCAATAGATTTAGATCTCCATTTCTGTTTACAAAATATTTCGTTGCGTCATACTGTTTACTACTAAGTTTAAACTATGATTACGTCACTCTATTATTAATTATCGTAATATGTGCAATAGGAATTTAAGTTTCTCGTTAACTCTAAGCATTTACAAACCTATTGCACAGAGATAAATTAAAAGCACAACATTAATTTATCTACAAACTAGGCTCATAATAACTTATCGTTGGTTAAATTCTCAGAAAATAAAGATTATTAAGACTTTTCTTAAAGATTACGACCAATCCTTTCTAAATCGTTTCCTTTGGAATAGCTCTATTTTAAAACGACTTTAAATCTATCAAGATTTTAAAAATCATCAACTCGGGGCAAAATTTAATTTTTGGTGTGTAATTAGTTGTCAAAATGAAAAGAAACATATCCGCCAAATTCCAGGACAAGCGACCCTTTTTATGGTCCTAAAACAGGACCCCATTCAAGTCGATAATGAATCTGACCAGGTAGAAACAAAACAGAATTCACAAGACCTGGCATGTGACCCTCCTGTGATAAGCAAATCAAACGCCAATGTCGCGTCTCCTTCTCCCCCTTTTTCTCCGCCCACCTTCTCCTCTTTGTCTCCCCCTGCTTCTTCTTTCCTCGAGAAGCGCTAGAAGCTCCCTGGGAGCACGATTCCTGGATATCGGAAGTATTAATATCAGAAGCCGACTAAGAATGCCAGATTCTAAAAAATGGTGTCCTTACCGAACGGTTCGAGCCACATACAGGTTGGGTTGCACCTCTCAGAGAACTCGAAAAAAAGCACCTATCTACTTAAGGTACCTCCTTTTATTTGATGGAGTATTTTGTGCTCCATGTTTCGCCTTTAATGCGGCTGAAACTCGTCCGTTGATTGACTGGAGTAACGCAAGAAAAGTCGTTAATCGGCACACACACTCAAAAGAACACATGAGCCGGCCATATTTTTTGTGGGCAACAAAATATATCTATAAGTAAGTCCGTTACTTTCTCATCACAGCCTGAGGAGACCTATAGAGTGATCATTAAACCATTTAATATCTCGTTGTATCTGGTAATTTCCCTACTTTCTTACGATGGAATAGAAGTGTTCTCAGAGTATAATGTTTCTTGTGCATTTGGAAATAATACATACACTTGGATAAATAAGACTGAAGGCCTGATTTGACGAGAAATGCTAAAAAAAACGTGTTATCTGGTTAAATGCGTTTTACATTTGAACGGGCATTCATACATAAACCAATTTCATGATCTGCATCCTTAATTAAACTTAACATGGAAAAATGTTTGTGTATGTTTATATGCACCTGTAAAATAAGAAAACTACAAGGCGTACACTGCCTTTTTTCTTTACAAATCTGTACGAAGTTATAATGAAATAAGTTAGAAAGTAAACGAGCAGCTATATGTTTATCAATTTATGGGGAAAAAATGACTTGAAAATGCTTCATGCTTTACGTGCAAAAGGTGCTTCAAGACATGCCAGAGCCCACGATTTAACATCTAATTTTTCAAAATTTTCCGGGGGAGACCCCCCGTACCCCCACCAGCGGGAGGGGGACACCCCCTCCCGCACGCTCCCCCTCTCGCCACTTCGTGCCTCGCTTTGCGTATATTTTTTCCAGCCCTAGCTACGCCCCTGAGTAACTTATAGGTTGTTTTTTCTGCAGTTAAAGGGCTGCATTGATACATATCAATTTTTTTATAGCTCATATGAGCACAAAGTTCTCAGAGGTGAGGTTTTGTGATAGCAGTGTGTCTGTTGTTTCTTGTTGTCCAAAATTTCTTCAAACAACATCTCCTAATTATTTGATGCATTTTGAATCTACACGTACAATACTGTAGAATGATACAATGTAAATTGTAGGATACAT